AGGAGTGTGTCTTCACGTCCTCATCCGTCATATCCGTGTGTAAAAACATGTACGATTTTGTATTATGAACTTGTGACAGTTTATTGAATACTTAAGTGTTCGAATATTAATGTGAATAATTGTAGATAGAATTGATCGTATCAGTGTTTAGATCACTTTTGAAAATTTAGCGCCTATTTTTTGCAAAGTGCAATTTCACATTCAATAATTTACTGTCTACAATTACGATTCCCGAATTTTAATCGGCAACAAGGAAATAAATCACGTAGTTCATTAAATGTCAAAATTACGTCGTGAATTAACAATAATATGGAAATACCTTTTCGTACACTTTAAATCCTCGGTCCATGAATGAGGAAAAGTCTCTGATGAGAACATCTTTAACCAGTTCCAGGTCGTTGATAACAAGAACTGGTTTTGTTCCCTCGTATATTCCGAAGACTGGTTCGTGTTTGAATTCGTTGTACCAATTTTTCACAACCGTACCTGTCGCGTATTTTCTAGTGGCAGTAGCCCAAAAGTTTCCAAGAAACGGGCCTGGTTTTGGTCCAGGTATACCGCGATTCTTCCAATAGTTGTAGATCGACGTGTGATAATAATAGATTGCCAGTGCTATAGCGCCAGTGGCGAAGATAAGTTGGTAGTAGTCCATGTTCTAGCAAATTAAACTTCACCGTTAAAAATCACTTACAATTAGTAATTGCTGTTGTTCTTCCAGCTTATATCTATGCAAATTCTTTTATTGTACAAGTTTTGATATTATCAATGGCAATGAAATCGGTTTGTTGAAGGACACTACATGTATGTCTAAAAATTGTCGTTCTAAAAATTTACGTGAATGCGTAACTACTTTGTTGAAACGAAAGTGGGAGAATACAATTGTATTATGGATTGCAATTTTATGCACTTTTGAGACATTTTCGAATGCAGAATTTCCTTCCGTAATATCTGGTACGCAAAGCAATCTTCTAATCGTAATTTTATTTTCGTAATTGTATTCTCAGAAGTATGTGTTTGCATAAAAATCTGCAATCTATTTATTAAATTTTGTTGTATCGATGAAGCAAGTATGTTTATTGTTACTTTCAGACCGCAGTGTATCAGAATGTACCAAGAACGAGGAAAACCGAATCATCGTGTGATTATTACAAAATAATTTCAATTACGTAGAATTTCTCTGTTACGGAATGCCGATTTTATTATCTATTCTTTATCTTATACATGACATATGTAGGTATTACATATTAAAAGGATATTTAATATTATCATATTGCTCTTTAATCTTGTCAAGAAAATATGTGGATTGCTAGAAAGTGTACTTTCAGTTCTACATATCGTATAATCACCGAAAATATTTTTAAATAATTTTTGAACAGTGCAATTGTTTCAAATGTATCTCACAGTATGTAAATTTTTCTAGTAGAAAATTATGTTTTCGGATGTTCGTTACTTACTTTGAATGTTAATTGCAGTACTCTGCAGTTTTCAAATGAACGAATGATGCTAATTAAAGT